CTTGACCTCAAAATTTTCTTACTCACTTGATACTTTTGGCTCATCCGTATTGTAGTACGTACTTCACGAGCTTATTTAACGAAAAATATATGTATACATACATATATACCATCACTTTTCCTCCTGCTCTACCAAAATGCACATCCAAAGCGCCTATTCAACAACTGCAAAGCCAAAGAGCCCCTTTCGCAAATTTTTCACAGATCTGCCGGTGTACGAGCGCAGAAAAAGCAAATAACTGTGGTAGCCGCTGCAATATTTAGCAGCAAAAACAACAGGAAGGCAGGTAAGCAGAAGCAGGCAGTCAGTTGATGTCCGCAACGTCACTTAATGTGCAACCGCACACACATCACCACGCAGCGCACCGCACCGCGCTCGTTATCCCCTCTCTGCTGCCGTTCTCAGACATGGTGGACGTCCTACTCGATTATGACAGTTTGCAAGTGTTTATTTGATTATTTATTACCGTATTTTGGATTCATAAATAACATAGCAAATTACCACAGCAGTAGACTTCGCTGGGCTCCCCTCTACTAGAATCCTCACTGCTCCTGTTTTCGCCGTCATAATAAGCGTCACATCGGCGGAGCGTGTGGAACATCAGAGTTCAGGAACTGTTTACCTCTGTTTAACCCTAATTTCGGTTGGTGAGATGTAGTAATTTTACTATTACTCATTTGGTGTGGTCATTTTTGTTTTTGTTGGACTCTTAGTAGTACGTAAAATATTTCGGTGGTTTTGTGAAAGGAAGAATTTAATTTAAAGAAAAGCGGTTGTATGTTTTGTAGAAGTAGAAAAAATAATTACATTTTTTTGGAATGAATTATAGAAGTATATAACTAAAATTAAATTATATAAGTCACACACAGCACTTTCTTATTTACTGTCTCGCTTTACTGAAACTCACTTCCCATATGTTCTCCCCCTACTTCAGCCATAGAGCTAAACTAGCTGTAATCGAAATCACGTTAGTAGATTTTTAATTTGCTCTAGAAGCTTAGACTATATAAGTGGTATAACTTTACCAACCTTAGTTTCTCAATTTGAAATAGCACTACTGGGACATTTCACACTATATGAGATCCCTTTTTTTATTTCCGAAGCTCGTCCGATAGAAAGATCTCATGCCGATCTTTATTACTTCTCTTTCCTTTAGCAAAAATGACGTGTCATTAGTAAATAGTATTAATAGTGCAGTACTGACTGCAAAGCCACGACCAAAAAAAAAAAACTGTCTTACATATTGAGACAACCATTTTTGCTATAGCTCTCTATTTTTAAGATTAAAGTACTAAGAAGCATGACATTTTAAAGAAAACCGTAAATACGAAGCGCTTCTCGGTTCCATTGAATATATTAGGTTTTGGTTTCCAAAGAATAATTGTGTAACAACTTTTCTGACGCTCCTTATCTATAGCACAACTTTTGGTCAACACAATGAACATACTATTGGAAACCCTATTACCAATCTTGAGACCCAGCATTAATTATTGGATAATATTCGACCGAATAGACCACGTCCAGTACGCAATGAAGAAAATATAGTGGTCGTTGCCGAAATTAAACACGAAAACCGTAGAGTCGATTCGGCGCCGTTCGCAGCAACTTCAACTGACGTATGGAACGATTTGACGCATTTTACGTCGAGATCTTAAAGTGAAAGCGTACAAAATACAGCTTGTGCTAGGACTGAAGCCGCTCAACCCTCCCAACCGACATTGCTTCGCTCTATGGGCTCTTGAAAAGTTAAAAGAAAAATGTAATTAAATTTTAGTTTCCTGTGTTTTTTTTCTTTAAAAAAAGTGGGGCACACCGCAATGGTTCATCCTGTATAATATTATAGTTTTATAATATTAAAATTTAATTTGTTGTAGTTTATAAATATTTACCCTAAACAAGTAGGGAAGGGCTAAGTTCGAATGTAACCGAACATTTTATACTCTCGCAAAGTCAAATGGTATACTTGTTTTAGATTTCTTTGTGGATCTTGCCGCCTTGTCCTATGTTGACCCGATTTCACCCATTTTCACACTGTAGGTAGAGGTGCTAAAAACATTTGCTTTCAGTGAATTTTGTTATTATGGCTTTAGCAGTTTAGGAGATATGCACATTAAACCTATTAGGCGGGAGCACGTCCCCTTTAAAAAAAAAACTTTTAACCACAGATGCCCCTCCTTAATGTGATCCTGTGTACCAAATAACAGTCTTGTATTTTATTGCGGAGCTTGGTTATGTCAATTTATTTTTTTTTGATTAATGGCGTTAATACATGTGTATCAGGTTTGATAAAGATATCTTAATTTTTACTCAAGTTACAGCTTACACGGACGGACAGACAGTCACCCGGATTTCAACTCGTCTCTTCATCCTGATCATTTATATATATATAACTCTATATCTAACTCGATTAGTTTTAGGTGATACAAACAACCGTTAGGTGAACAAAACTATTATACTCTGTAGCAACAAGTTGCGAGAGTATAAAAAGGAGTGCATGGGTTTTTCCCCTCGTCAACATATGCACGTGTATGTCATAGACTATACAACCTCGAGAAAAAATATAGTTTTTAACTTCCTAATTTCCATAGTCGTAACAATATTTTATGGGCGTTGAAGATCTGTCTAAGTGTCTTGGAAATTGTACGAATTAAATAATATCCTTGATGTATGTCACTTGAAGGAAAGCATGTTGTCGTTGAAGACTTTTTTTTAAAACTCCAATAATGACCACAAACAATTTTTTTATGTCGATAACTTTTAATTGACCCGAAAGAGGACTCTCCACAGCTTCTAGAACACTTATCAAAAATTGTTTACGAAATAAAAATTATAACTTGAAATTTACTTTAAAAGTGAGTAAATGTTAAAAAAAAAAATTTTCAAAAATGTTCTTTTTAATAATCTACAAATTTTACCCTCAGGCTAAGCAAGGTATGTATCTCACGTTGCAAGGTAGAATAACTTTTTAAAGCACCTTGGACAATATTAGCAAGTACTATTTAATTCATATTGAACGAATTATAAATATGTAATTGCTCTGGAGAATATTTATAAATATTTCTCCATGGACGTCCTCAAAACTTGCACTCGATCCCTGTTTCAATGAACATCTGAAAGTTTTTGGTACCAATAGAACTTCCCAAGTAAGAAAACTTTCAAGCATATTACTACCATGAAAAATTTTGTTTAGTCACTGTTTGATATTACGCTTGTATCCTAATTCGTTATGGATATTTATATATAAAATTTATTTTCTTCATGCTCGAACATATTTACAGAGAGTGGTAGATTAGTGGTTGTCGAAATACCATAGAGTATCTTCTCCGGTATATCCAAATACGGTAAAAAGAAATACATCATATAATTTAGATGATCCTTCAATCCAGCACAACAAAATATTTCAACAACTTATTTCAACGAAATTACTTTCACTGGATGATTAGTAGTTTGGTCTAAGCAAATGGGAGTGTCTTTTGTGAATTTCTAATAATGTGAACACCTTAAACCTGTGTCAAATGTAAAATATTTATACATTAAATGTTTGCTAGAATGTTGTTGTTGTTGTTGTAGCGACAGAATTGCTAGAATGTCTTTATTTGTGGCTACTTTCACCTCTCCTTCTCTAGGTTTTCACTTAACACGTGTCAACTCTTGTAAAATCACAACGAAAATAATAGTGAACAAACCTATAATAAGTTATATAATTAAATAATAATTGGATGTGAGAATTTCAGTAAGTAAATATTTATGAGTGGTGACACTGAGAAGAGGCAACAAAAGTAAATCTACTTACTTGGTGGTTGGAGGTGTAAAGGCTGTTTGGTTGTATATAATGTTGGTTTAAAGGAACGAACAATAAGATAACATAGATTAATGGCGCTATTTAATAAATATTTTTATTGAGTTGAAGTTGAACTGATTCCTTCTGAAATTGTTACGAAGAGCATCGAATATATTTCTTGAATATAGAAGCGAGAACTTCACTTGACTCTTTATAAAAGTACTAAATTCTAGAATCTTCAACTGATGCTGCTTTCTGATACTCCTAGATTTTGCTGGGTAACTGAGATAAGACCAATGACCTCGAAATAAATTTTTTGTCAACTTGAATTATACTGTTGCGCAAAAGTTATCAGGAGCAATTAATGTTTAGATCTTAAGGTAAAAGCTAAAAGTTGGCATACCTCAAATGTTTTGAAGAATTGTGGCATAATACGCAGATATGGTAAACGACCGCAATGGAATAATACGTTCTCGTAAATACAAAAGAAGTACCAATAATTTCCGCTATTATATTATTTGCTTCTAAAAGTAAATTAATAAATCTTAATTCTTATTAGTTATAGTCTATAGATGATGAGTTGTGAAGTATAAAATGTATGACGTAAAATCTTTGAGGTTAAAGGCGTGTTATTGTCGATCTTGAAGCTTAACGACCATATACAAGTATAACTTCCATACCAGCTTCGCTTACCTGAACTCTGTAAAACTCTTCAAGCTTAACCAACAATTAACTACTTAATTTAACTTCGGTTCTTGGATATGAGCAATGCCATAATGTTCTAATCAAGAGCCCTTCACGGAAGCACCGTACGTCGAATAGATTAAGCTGCGAAAGTTTTCGAGTCAAAAATGAACAATTTAAGATTCTCAACTTTTATGCAAGGATTAAATTTAGTAGAGGCTCAAACCTAAGAAACACCCCAAGGTACGCAATTATCCTTAAATATTTGTTTTGATTAGTCGATATAAATTAAACGAAATCACTCATAACTCAAGAACGAATGGACCGATTTTTATAATATCTAATGTATTGAATTCATCTTCCCTCAGAATAACTATGGAAATATCGAAAAATTCAAACAAAAAATAACAAAATGAATCTAGAAATATAGCAAATATTTTAACGCAAATTTCAACACAAAAGAAAATAGAGATTTGCCAGCAACTCACAAATCGATTAGTCTTAAACATTCCTTTATTAGACGTTACGAAACTCGCTACGCTAACTGTTATATTATATATTATACGGTATACATATATCAAAGGCCTTCGTCAGTCATTTCCACGTTCTTGCTTGACTGATCGCGGGCGTACAATGAACCGCACCAAAAACGGCGTTTCCACATTTTCGAAACTTTCAAATATTTTATTTTTTAACTGTTTCTACATTTCACCATTGATTTCCAACCAATTTTTTACGCTAAACCATGATTATCACTTAAAGTTCTAGAAAGCATTCGTATTTTAATGATAGCTCTGGACTGGAGAGCAGCGCGGTCAGTGGCTGTGTATGTGCACATCTGAAAGTAAAAAAAGAGTATATATGTGTGTGTACGAGGTATGGGTGTAACGTAGTTATACGAATTATACAAAATAAATATCATGCCATCTAAATGTTTTGGTGGCACAAAGTCAGTTGAGTATATCCCTAAAAGGGTTAAACCACCAATTTGCTTAATTTCCCGCAATGCTGGTAAGTGGCATACACACTTACATACATATAGGTGAATATGTGGAGTATATACATTCATATATAAATATATTATATATACATGTATAGAGATATATTCAGAAAACTCAACATACACATTCGATTTGAAAAAGTCAATAAAAATTTTGATGGGAAAGTAGTATTTACTTCAAAAATGGTCACAACAAATCTGTCTGTGTTGCATATATATAATATATAAGAATACATACATACACAAGTATCTACACTTGTAGTTCAATGCATAATTATCTAGCTATCAGCTCAATGAGACGTGTATTGAGCAAATAAATACATGCCTTTCGATTCTACAATTGTCTGGGAGTCAAAACAACCTTATGACTAACTTTCCTTCACAGACACAAACAAATATATATACATATAAGTAATCATATGCATGCATAATCTTGTGCACGTAATACACATATGCAAATAATTGCTAGTTACAGAAGAGAAGGCATAAAAGTTTAATTTTAGGGTGTCTTCTGTCTCTGATAGCCTGAAATTAAGGTAGATTACCCTGCACTCAGGCGCTTGCGGTTTACTTCGGTAGCAAGTCATTCATATAAATAAATAAATATGAGCGCAAGGCATTTATTTAAATATTTATTTAAATTTGTGAATTACCCATGTCGTAAGTAAGGCAATTAATGTGGAGAATATGACCGGTAGTTTTCATATGTTTTTGAGGCTAAGGAAGTTGGTGAATAGAGGTGTATTTATTATGGTTCAATACTCCCTAGCATATGTTTATTATATTTTTGTACATATATTTTTTAATTTACATACTATACCTTGCATACTTTGCGATCCTTTGCCCTTGGGTTGAGTACTAGGTTCTCCTGCGTAGACTTAAAATTTGTAGTAGCGAACATTTGTGGGATAATTTCAAAAGAGGCACACTACAATGGGTACTTAAAAGATAAAAAAACATAAAATTATTTCTAATTTATCTCAATTTTGCTTACAGTTTTAGATTCTTTCATGATGGATATTTTCGATTAGACATGCGTTTAAAAACAGCGAATCTCTGGAACGAATAAGTTTCATAAACAATTTTAATAATCTACAATGTTTCTTCGGTAATACACCCGTATTCAAATTATTAGCTCAAGGTGGCTAGAACGTTTCTATATCCATCTATTATTGAGGGATGATAAAAGACTAGACGCTCCTAAACCAAGTTGTTTAGGTTATAAAATAAATTGTCTGTGGACCAAACCAAAGAACAGGTTTACTGCCGAAGGTCCATAGCTCGAAAATGTTGAAGATTTGATCGTGAAAAACCGGAAAAAGCTAAAAATATAGCTTTGTTAGACTCTCTTCAGGCCCACTTTTTTACATAATGTATGGAGACACCACAATCCTAAGAAATCTGGAAAAATAAAAATCTAGTTTTATTCATATCCGTTTTCCTATATGATGGTAGATATATACGGAATGTGTTCAAACAAATAACGGTAATTTTCGGTTTTTTAAAAAATATTTATTCATTCGTCTACTTTAATGTTGTCGCCTACAAAATAGTCTTTATTCGATATTATGCAATTATGCTTATCAAGCTCGAATTTTAGAATAGCCTTAGCTCTTTCAGCGATTTTGTTTTTTCTTGTAAAACGACGGTAACATATTATTCATGAATATTTGCATACGCGTATTTGAAAGCTTTGTACCAAAAGAGTGACGGCGTGCTCACAAGCGACTGAATCACAAATAAATAAAAATGAAGGCAAATTGTATAAATAGTACATCCCGATAATTGTCTGATCTAACTCCCAGGAATAATTTTCTGTTCTTAAGAGATTGGTCGCTGAAATCTTTATTTAGTAAGAGACTGTAATCTGTAAAAAAAAGGTTAACGAATGGTATGATGAAAAATAGGGGTTTTCTTGAAAACAATTTGAACAGTTAGGGCTTTTGAAAAACATTGAAAAACTTATTGCTTCAGTTTGAAAAACATGAAATGTGCTCTCTTATCTAATTGAAACTAAAATTCCTACAAGATATCATATATTTTCAATTCAGTATCTTTTTGCCGTTTGGAGTTTTTTACCTGCAACAACTTACGAGGACAATACTCGATCTGGAAACTGCAAACTTTTCTTATAGAAGTAATATATAATAGTACGATGCTATGGTTACGGTATCTCAAAAGTTGAACGGCTTGATTCAGTGTCAATGATCATAACGAGATCACAACAATTCATAATAACAATTCATAATAAAGTCTGCCGGCGCTGGTGCCACAATTCTAAATAGGAAATTTATCCTCTTTGAATACCTTTATTACCGAAGAAATTTACAATCTAATTTCCATAGCTTTAAAAGCTATTACTATTGAGTCGAACGCACGCTAATTTAATGATCAATCAGCTATCTATCAACTGATTTACAACAAACGGATGTACATTAAACGCTGGTTTACAGCACATATAAATTATCTGAATAATCTTATGGCATAATAATCTATTGAACTTTGCGAAATTTCCTTCTGCTCTTGAATACATACAAATAATGAAAGACTATACACAACTGATGAGCTAAACCATCATTGCAGAGCATTTTTGAATTATTATCACCGGCGTTGTGGCACAAAAAGATCACCGCACATTTAGCCATGTTCAGCGATAATATGCGTAATAAACATTTATAAAGACGTCAAAACAACAGAAAACAGAGCGATAGTCGCGGGAATGAAGTTAGCGGCAAACAAATGGAATGAAGGACATGCGCTGACTGTGACAGAGACTATGACAAAGCGAGGCAGGAAGTGGCGCGCATATACACACAAGCTTTTGTACAACTATTTATATGTATGTATGTATGCGTTTATATATGGAATTACTGCGTGCGCGGCCAAGCTATAAAATTTATAATGACATTAAGCAGAAAAATGTCAGAGCGCATGCGAATCGATTTGAGGAACAACCGCGGCATATTTACCTAGCGCGGTGAGCAGTTGTGAGTTTCTTGATTGCTGCTCGGTTGCTATCATGGCTTCCTTGAGAATTGCAGAAACGTACGGTGTGCATTTAATTGAATTAAAATGTTTTTCTGTGAGACACTTCGCTTGGTTGACGGTGAGCGAAGGTTACGGTGGCGAACCCTCACCGCGGCGCTGAGTTTATTTTGCGCGTAGCCATGCGTATTGCATATCTTTGATCAGTCAAACCAATTATTTGCGAAATTTTGTCACATAAATAACTAGAACGACGATGAATGAGCGCGTGTATGAGTAGGCGCTACAACAACTAGAGCGCAGTATTGCGGTATAGCGCATTGAAGGGTCAACATGACAGCCACTTGTATACGTCACACTTTACGAGCATTGCAATGTTTCACCTGTCCGTCGCAGCGATGACGAACTACACCATCACCAAGCGCAGCGCACGGTAGCAGTTTGATGTGAAGGATGCGCACATGACAGCGGAAGACTGGGGCGGCTAATACTCGTATGTATGTATATGGTATATATGAATGACAAAGGCGCTATCGAAGCTTCTACGAGCCAGGCATGTATAGCAAGGAAAGTAAAGCAAATATTCAATGCTAACAGAGCAGCACAACCGCGGTCATATTTTGTTTACCGCGCGGCACGGCGCAGACTTCATGCTGTCGCAATGACATTTGTTGCGCGCAATAACTGTTAACGAACAAGGGTGATGAAAGCTCACATGACTGCTGCAGTTCTAGCGAAACTCCGCCAACTAACTGCTTACGCGTTTACTTTTTCACTTCCGTACTGTCCGCCTACAGTTTCTGCACAACGCGTGGGCACACACACACGCGCACATCTATTTGCTGCATGCAGAGCAAGAGGTGTTAATTGAATTCGCTTTGCATAAATTACGCGCGTGCATAATCACTCAGCGTACTCAGCTGATCGCTTGCCAGATCGTCTCCAGCGCTCGTTAACAGAGACCACCTGTGCCTCGGCTAGCGAATTCCGCCAAGGATAATGGCATGCAAACGCCACTTAACCGCCGCATGCCGTGCATTCAGAAAGGGAATTGACTCAAACACACACAAAGAATTTCACGTGTGTGCGTTGCAGCACGTAGTTTCGTTTGTAACCGCTTGTCGAGCAAATAAAAATGCATTGTCAACATGACATGTCAACAGCGATCTTTATCACGATTTGCATTTTGACCGACACTAGTGCGCTGAAAGAGGCCAATTCGTTTGGCAACTAAGTCGTACTATGTTGTCGGTACACGTGTACTGACAGCTACATTTTGCATAAATTGTGATAGTGTTGCAAGGGGGCACATCGAGGTACACCGGCGCTGTTGTTGCAGGACGTTGGCTCTTAATAAAGTTCAATACTTTGTAGTGCATAAATATATTGCTAACAGTTGGGCATAACTATCTACGGTTTATGTGAAATAAGCAATTTGTTGCAACATGCAATAATGTGCATGTGTGCAAAATTGCATGTTTAGAATTCTGTATATTACAGAGACTTTTTTAAGCTTTAATTAAAAAGATTAGTCCAGATGCAGAACCAAAATGCTCCAGTAAAGCTTTCTTTCTCTCTCTCTCAGAGATCAAAGCTGATGAACTAATTGAAAGTAAACAGTCTTGCCATATTTGGCTGGAATGAATTTAAGCAAATCTGAAAAGGCAGTTGCTACAAAAAGCATCCCCGTAGAGACCAATGTTCCTATTAACACTAATATCGGTAGTTGATTTTATGCGTTTATAGAACTAACATAAGAGAACTGTCTCTATATGTATTTGTTTGAAGAACGTATGCCTAGTATGACATAAAGAGCATCGATGTCTTGAAATGAGTGGATACTTCATTGAAATCTGTAGGGAAAACGGGGCATTAAGTTTCCACGAGTCAATTAGATATAAAAAAGGTGAAGATATAGTTGGATTACGGCTTGAGCTACGTGTATCCAAAGACTTAGCGAAAAGTTCAAAGATTATAATTTATATGTTCTCAGCCCAATCTACAAGAAAAATTATTTCTCAGTCACGGGATCTGCCAAAGCTACTGCATATACTTCGAAAAGAAAGCGTTACTCGTTTCTAAAATAGACTTGTAGGCTTAAAATTGGATATGGTTTTGGAAAAAGCATTTTTGAAACTCATTTTCTTGCCCTACAGGAATTCTAACCTACTACCTTCACAAAATTGTGGGAAATGTAATCAGAATCCAATAATATATAACAAGACATTTTATCTTCTGAAGTCATGCTGTAAAAATACTTGCGTAAGTTTCTCCCCATGTCTCTCTAGATAGACAAATATAGTGTGTTTATCATTCTTTTGCCATCATTTCTACACAACTCTTCTAGATGGCCCCACCGAAAAGACAGATATCAAAAGCTCTGACGTCAATAAAATAAGACCACTCCAATTTTATAATTTGAACAGAGCATATAAAATATGCCAAAAGTTTTTAACACCCAGAGGCAACCTCAAAAACCCGATAAAATATACATATACGCGTACATAAATGGTCAGCAAGACGAACTGAGTTGATTTAAACATGTCCGTGCATCCGTCTGTCTGTATTTATGCGAACTAGTCACTCAGATTTTAAGCTATCGTTCTGAAATTTTGCACCTGTATTGTCTTACTAAGAAGCTGCTCATTTGCCGGAACCACCGATATCGGACTATTATAGCATATAGCTGCCATACAAACTGAACAATCGGAATCAAGTACTTGTATGGAAAACTTTTTTATTTGACAAAGATATTTTCACGAAATTTCGAAAGGATTATTGCCTAAAACACTGCTACAATATCCGAATCAATTCTACCGATCGGGTGATTATGCTTGTACCATAAAGCTACCAAACAAACTAAACAATCAAAATCAAGTTTTTAAGGAACACTTTTTTATTTGACAATATGCCTCCAAGAAATTTGGCATGGATTATTGTCAAAGCCAACGAATCGAACCACCATAGCATGCTTGCTGTTTCATTTATTATTGGAAGAAGAACTCTATATGGGAGCCATATAAGATTTCGAAATTATCTGAGCTAGTCGTGCTGAAAGTGTTCAAAATACTGTAGATCTTTTTACTATATATAAATTTTTCTGGATATAATAATTTGAAGCCATTTTCCAACAGATGGCAACCTTTTAAAAAAGCTATCCTTTTTTGAAGAAAACAATCAAACTATAAAAACAAACTAATTAAAAGTGCAAACAGGTTAGGCTTCACCTATAAACCTACAGCGATCGTGACGGATTTGTGTTACGTAACACAATTTCGTTGCATCTCTTGATTCTGTTGTCACACTGAAGAAAAA